GTCGGGGTGGCATGGTGGTATCAATTCGTCGGCGGGGGGGAGCCCGGATCCTAAGGCACCTGTGGTTACCGTGAGTGGGGCTTGCGATAGTCAAAATAGGTCGTCACTTCTCCCGTTCTGGCACGGAGCTGATCAGTGAGCGTCCATCTTGATCAGCCGCGCGCATGCGCCCTTCCCAAGCTCCTTTTTTAAACCCCCTTAATACTGGCATGTTTCTTAATTTTCAAAAGACTGTGGCAAAAAATTAGATCACCTCTGTCTACTTTTCAAAAAGGGGTAATTTTGTGGCTTTTCATACTGTACTGGCATTTTTATTTGTGGTTTTATAACCGAAAGTAAAAGAGAACCATTTTCCCCTTGTTTTTATAGTTCTATCATAAAAGAAAACATCCCTGTGATTATTAAATACCATCAGAAGAAAGCTCCATTCGTCTCAAAAATGATATAATATTAATTTGGGTACACTATTGCAATGGATAAATGAGTCAGTCAAGCTATCACAACACCGAAAACTGAAAAATGGCCTGGACAGCAAGGAGGCTTAACATGCCGGTCATTAAACGATTAGTCGTGCACTGGTGTAAAGTAATTTGTTGCACCCAAGCACTTTAGATGAGCTAGGCCACTTGTATAAGCTATAAAAAATGGCCAACAAGGCTACGTCAATGCATTAGGAGAACATTTAAAAAGCAGAAGCAACCTTAAAATAAACACTGAAAACATCACATCACGTAATGGTATGGGAGCTGTAATTTAACAAACCGAAAAAAACAAATGAACCAGTCACCCAGCACTTTTCTGGAAAGTTGTGTGAAGCCTTTCTAAGTAATTTGATGACTGTTGTGAACATAATTGATGACATTATGATGAATAGTAATATCAAGAGGTGCACCGAAATGGAAATGTTTAAAACCGAAATAAAAACATTGGGGATGTCCCGATACCAATGCTGGTATCGGGCCCGATACAGGGTATTTTGACAAGTACTTGTCAAAATGCCCCAATACATAGCGCCGAAGCTTGCTCTATGATTTTTTTTTTTTAACTTACTTGGAGAGCAACGGCGAGTCGGTGCTGGTCTGGTGGGAGGAGCTCCAGGTGGGTTCCTGTTCTGTCGACGCTGAGGACTCATCGACCGCGCGCACCTCTGACGTCGCATCCGGGTACTGCCAGTCTGTCAGCTTCACTTAAGGACCTTCTGCGCATGCGTTACCACTCACCGATCATTACATTCCCACACAGCGCCTGCATCCCTTTCTCACGGCCGTTAACTTCTCCAACTACATGCCAGTTCCTGGAATAGCGCAGTGACTGTTGATTGCAGATCCAGAACCGATTCCGGGACTCCTCTTATACGCAGATTTAAACTGCGGTCCCGATTCTCTGAGTCCTCCAGTTGTGTTAGGAGGGATAGGTTCATGTAACGCAGCCGCTCCAGATCATCCTCATGTCCCTCCACTATAAGATCGTTGCAACTGGATTCAAGTGTGGTAGTACGTCTGCCCACGTCCCGTATCTCTTTCATAAGTTGCAAGGTAATTTGCTTGGATAACTTGTCCAGAGCTTTGTGGAGGGTTGTTTTCGAATTGTGCCAGCAGGGAATGAGTGACCTCAGGGTCCGCTTGACTAGCCTGTGTGTGTTGTCCTCTAGAGGGTTCGTTAGAGGATCGGGAGTCTCGTTCCTCTGTGATGATGCTGGCGACATCTTGTGGGCCGCTCGACCCAGAGCCTCGTGTAGCGTAGACTGGCTCAACCTGTCCTGTACTAGGAGTCGGGGTGGCATGGTGGTATCAATTCGTCGGCGGGGGGGAGCCCGGATCCTAAGGCACCTGTGGTTACCGTGAGTGGGGCTTGCGATAGTCAAAATAGGTCGTCACTTCTCCCGTTCTGGCACGGAGCTGATCAGTGAGCGTCCATCTTGATCAGCCGCGCGCATGCGCCCTTCCCAAGCTCCTTTTTTAAACCCCCTTAATACTGGCATGTTTCTTAATTTTCAAAAGACTGTGGCAAAAAATTAGATCACCTCTGTCTACTTTTCAAAAAGGGGTAATTTTGTGGCTTTTCATACTGTACTGGCATTTTTATTTGTGGTTTTATAACCGAAAGTAAAAGAGAACCATTTTCCCCTTGTTTTTATAGTTCTATCATAAAAGAAAACATCCCTGTGATTATTAAATACCATCAGAAGAAAGCTCCATTCGTCTCAAAAATGATATAATATTAATTTGGGTACACTATTGCAATGGATAAATGAGTCAGTCAAGCTATCACAACACCGAAAACTGAAAAATGGCCTGGACAGCAAGGAGGCTTAACATGCCGGTCATTAAACGATTAGTCGTGCACTGGTGTAAAGTAATTTGTTGCACCCAAGCACTTTAGATGAGCTAGGCCACTTGTATAAGCTATAAAAAATGGCCAACAAGGCTACGTCAATGCATTAGGAGAACATTTAAAAAGCAGAAGCAACCTTAAAATAAACACTGAAAACATCACATCACGTAATGGTATGGGAGCTGTAATTTAACAAACCGAAAAAAACAAATGAACCAGTCACCCAGCACTTTTCTGGAAAGTTGTGTGAAGCCTTTCTAAGTAATTTGATGACTGTTGTGAACATAATTGATGACATTATGATGAATAGTAATATCAAGAGGTGCACCGAAATGGAAATGTTTAAAACCGAAATAAAAACATTGGGGATGTCCCGATACCAATGCTGGTATCGGGCCCGATACAGGGTATTTTGACAAGTACTTGTCACAATGCCCCAATACATAGCGCCGAAGCTTGCTCTATGATTTTTTTTTTTTTTTTTTTTAACTTACTTGGAGAGCAACGGCGAGTCGGTGCTGGTCTGGTGGGAGGAGCTCCAGGTGGGTTCCTGTTCTGTCGACGCTGAGGACTCATCGACCGCGCGCACCTCTGACGTCGCATCCGGGTACTGCCAGTCTGTCAGCTTCACTTAAGGACCTTCTGCGCATGCGTTACCACTCACCGATCATTACATTCCCACACAGCGCCTGCATCCCTTTCTCACGGCCGTTAACTTCTCCAACTACACACAGCTCCTGTCCAGTTCAACTACCATGCACTGCGTTTGCGTGCCCTTCTGTACGTGCGTGCCCTGTACCAGGGCACGCAAACGCAGTGCATGGTAGTTGAACTGGACAGGAGCTGTGTGTAGTTGGAGAAGTTAACGGCCGTGAGAAAGGGATGCAGGCGCTGTGTGGGGATGTAAGGCTCGGTGAGTGGCAACGCATGCGCAGAAGGTCCTTATGTGTAGCTGACCTACTGGCAGTACCCAGATGCGACGTCAGAGGTTCACAAGGTCAATGAGTTCTCAGCGTCGACAGAACACCGGCGACTGTCCAGAGGACCTGAGAACATTTGCAGACCAGCTAAATTAGGACCCCACCTGGAGCTCCTCCCACCGGACCAGCGCCGACTCGCTGCTGCTCTCCCACACAGCGCGACCTCACCAGCGAGGCAACCAACGGTGAGTGAGGGCCTGGGGTCCCTCATAAGAATGATTTATTGTATTAAATCAGCAGGGGAAAATAGTAAATTATTGCCTGCAGTATGTACTCTATATGTGCTACATATAGAGTACACACTGCAGCAATAGATTTACTATTATCCCCTGCAAATATGAATGGATTAAATGATCTATAGTACATAATAGTACATAACATGTAGTTGTACTACGGATCATTTAACCAATTCATGTTAGTCGAGGAAAATTGTAAATCTATTGCTGCAGTGTGTACTGTATATGTAGTACATGTATACAGCACACACCTCCACTACACTACAGCAATAGATTTACAATTCTCCCCTGCTAACATGAATAGGTTAAATCATGATCCATAGTACATAACATGTAGTTGTATTATGGATCATTTAACCCATTCAGGTTAGCAGGGCAGAAATGTAACTCTATTACTGCAGTGTACTGGAAGTGTGTACCAGGTTAAATGATCCATAGTACACACTTCCAGCACACTGCAGTAATAGTTACATTTCTCCCCTGCTAACATGAATAGGTTAAATGATCCTAGAGGCACATGCATGATCGAATTTGTAGTTTCACAACAGCTGTGTGAAAGCAAATACAAATGTTTTATTGTTCTAAAACAGTCTTAAAGTTCTTCATAATCATAAAGAAATTGGCCTAAAATCATTAGTCTGCATTGTTTTTTTTTAAAAGTCACCTGTCCCTTTAAGAAAAAGTATCGGTAATTGGTATCAGCAAGTACATGAGGGGAGGTACTTGGTCTTGAAAAAGTGGTATCGGGACATCCCTAAAAAAGAATTGTCAGGCCGAAACCGATACCGAAAAATGTTTTTTTATTTTAATTTTTTAAAATCTTTTAATTTTTTAATAACTTTTCCCCCTTTGGGGAAATATTGGGGGTCTAAACAGACCCCTGATGTTTCCCTTTTTAAAATAGAAAAAGAGATTTAAGTCCTCTATCTCTTTTTTTTTTTTTTTCTGTGCCCCCTGTTATTAATGAACAGGAATGCGTGTTCCTGTTCATTGATAACATGAGGACAGAGTATGTTTACTATACCTACAACTATGAATGAACATGAGGTGATGTAGATCACTTCCCATTCATTCATAATTGAGGATGTAGTTAACATACCATGTCCTCAATTATCTACAAACACTCAGCGATCACTGATCCCTGAGTGTTTGTGCTCGCTCTCCTCTGACACGCTGTCATAGGAGGCTGATCGAGCGGAGCAGGAGGTGAGCTCAGCCTCCTGTAACAGCTTGGCAGGCTGTCACTTTATTTTCTCCCTGCTGGAACACAGATCAGCACTCAACGGGGAGAAAAGAAACCAGGGATGCGCCGATGTATAGGCCGAAACATGGCTCTTTTCGGCAAAGTGCCATTTTCAGCCGATATCGGTGCATACCTAGTCATGTCATGTTGATAATTACATTTTCAATATTTCTGTGTTCAGTTAAATTTTTTTTTTTTCTCTCTCAGGACTCTCTGCTTGCTAGTCCAATTATTCTAGATTTGGTAATCCTCACAGAGCTCTGCCAGAGAATTACTTTTTGCACTGAGCAAGACCAAGACTTCCAGACATTCCACAGTGTTCTGTCAATTCTCAGCTTCCTCTGTAAAGCTCCACTTGTGCCAGAAGGAACACCTGTTGTAAATGCCCTTTTCAGACAAAGAACCTGCATTGAGAACATTCTCAGGTATCACTTGTTGTTGTTGTTGTTGTTGTTGTTTTTTCCCCATAATAATGTTTATTAAATCCAAAAGGAGAAACATTAAATTGTATGACAACATTACAGGTTACAAGTTGAGCGATATAACATTAGAATGATAAAACCGTTTTGTAAGAAGGTTTACATACTATGAGCTTACTAGCATGTAGTATCAATAATGGTAATGTCAGTAGTTTGAAATATCGTGTTTTGTAATCTCTAAGGACTAGTTCACACCAGATGCAGTAGTGATGCAGTCCGTTCCGTTCTACAGCTGCATCAAAAACACATCATCATTCTTTCCTATGGGATTTCTGATGCTCTGTTCACAGCAGTGCAGTCTGTTCCGATGCAGCCAGAAAAAATACTGCTTGCCCTATTTTGGCTGCATCAGATCGTGATGGAACGCAAAAAAAATGCAACGGAACGCACTAGAATGCACCTGAAATCCCATTTTAATTTAAAAAAAACCTGCGGCAAAACACATCGCGCTACAGCTGGGCAGACGCACGCAGTTCTGGCACGAACTAACCCTAAAGGGGAGTGTATGGCAATAAACAACATAAGAAATAACAAAAAGGTTTTCTTTTTTCTTATGTAATTTGATTTGAGCAGGTGACATGGAGGAGATGGGCAGAACTAAGGATAGTAATAGGGGAAAAGATTTAAAAGTAGAAGGGTAAGGGGTAACAAAGGAACTCAAGGGAAGAAAGATAGGTGAGGGGAGGTGATGAGGAAAAGTTTAGACAAGAAGATGAAATAAAAGAAGGAAAGAGAAGGGTACAGCTGGAGGAAAACCATTAACATGTACGAGATTTCTCAAGGCCAGAGATCAGGGACATCAGTATCGTATTCATCCAGGAGGTATCCCTTGTTTTTATGGATGGCGTGGGTCGTCTAGTAGGTGTGCATGAGCATCAGCCATAAATTATCAGAATTAATAAAACATACCAGTCATTTTAATTTTCCTAATTTTACAAAGTAAGAATGGTAGCTAAATGCCATGGCTATTATAATATAACTGACTTCTTTCTTTTCTTTGTATTTGTGATGGCCTGTACTGAAGCATGTTTTTTGTATTACTTTTTTTTGTTTTTTGTTTTCCAGGGCTTGCTTGGGTCTGTATCCACAAAATCATATGATGCTAGAGCACAAGATGCAGAGAAGTTTTGTGAGCCTCAAAAGACCAAGCAAAGTTTTGAACCCTTGTCCAATTTCCAGTAAGAAGGGAACTGTCCAGGTTAATGGCTTTCATCAAGTCATTGGCAATGGGCACTGTAATGGACTTGCACAAACTGTCACCATTAGTGACACCGAAATAGAAAATTAGTGGGCGTCCTCAACTTTGCCATAGGCAATAACTTATGCATTTTAACAAAAAAATAAGTCACAACTAGAAGTTTACACTACAACTCTTGCACTTATAACTATTACGTCTTGACCTTCTTATTTGAGTGCTATGTAGGTTCAGTGATCTAGAACTGTGGTTCTTGTACTGCTGTTTTTGTTAATTTGTTGTAGTTTGAAGTTAATAAACTTCAGATGACTTGAACCTTGCTCGCTGTTCTTGTAGAACATTTTTCCACCTGAAATAAAACATTACAGCACTTGAAGGTTAATTTTACTATTTAACCATGTGTCTTACTAACTCTCTATAGAATGTTGTATTTGAAAGAGGGTTATAGGCAGTGTAATCCATCATCCAGCTGTATTTTTTGGAAAAGTATGAAAAGGTACCTAACTAATTTTCTGTAACTTTAGTTGTGTATGGGTCTCAAACAACTGCCACCTCTCTTACACGAAGGGGTCTGTATTCCCAATGATTCCCCTGCTCACAAATGGGGAGGGTGCACATTATCAATATCCCCCAATTTTCGTAAACTGAGGGCTACATATTATCAATATCCCCAAGCTCACATAAACAGAAAAGTCCTCAAATTACAAATATCACCCTCTCATTCTTCATATATTGATATTGTGGTAAAAAAAAAAGTATTAAAATAGCTCCTTTCTTATAAGATCAAGTCTCAGAAAGTAGCAGCCATTTAGTGAGGACATATAAAATGCTGTTTATTTTCTTAACCATCGGTAGATCTCCTTCTGGAAACAGTTAGATATTGGAAGGATTCCCATTTCCTCCCTGTATCTTTTTCTAAACCTAATTGTACTATTGTGATTTTTGTTGTGAAGAATTTTCATTCTCTTCACAACCTATGGGTGACTGTACATGGTGATATGATAGTTAAATGTCTTCCATTAAACCATCTGCTTGTTTTCAGACCCACTGCAATTGATTATGACTTGGTTGTTGCTTTATATCAGCACATGTGCTCTATTGAAACTATAATGTTGGCACTCATGGCCCTGCCCTGTGAAAATTAAAAAAAATGGAAAATCTTTGTGAGTGATGAGTATTTTTCATGGTTGGTAGTGGTCATTATCATTCCCTAGGAAAGTCCTACAAAGCCTGATCACACCACACCTACATTTAGCTGTGTATGGCCATCCTAACATCCTTTCATACATAGCATTCAACATTTATTTTTCAAGGGTTCATTTGGATTCCAAAAAGATGTCTCGGTAGATACAGTACACTTGTCATATGAGGATTATGTAGGGTGCTATTGCTGACCTCCTCCTTTTTGTCAGTTTGAGAGAATATAAACAATACATATGTAAAAAAAAAAAAGTAGTGATTGCAGGTGGAAATATGTGGGGGCATATAGGCCATGAACTGGCAGAAAGGTACTGATTACACAAGTTGGTATAGAAGCAGTTAAAGTGCCAGTAGCTTTGCTAAACTGGCATTCAGGCACTGGG